ATTCAAGGAATTCGGAACTTTTGAACTTATGGATTTCGAATTTTTGAATCTTGAAATTCATGGAAATTTTGAATTTTAAAGTTATCTTAATCTCTGAATATTGATAATTTCTGAATTACTGAGCTTCTGAATTGTGAATTGTGCATTCTGAATTGTGAATTTCATAATTTCAGAATTCTGAAATTCTGAGATTCTGAAATTCTGAGATTCTGAGATTCTGAAATTCTGAAATTCTGAAATTCTGAGATTCTGAAACCCTGGGGTTCTGAGATTGTGAGATTCGGAGATTCTGAATTTCGTAATTTTCGAATTTCTGCGCCCACTTTTCCCGGAGGGGCTTGAGATGTAATGAATGGTCGTCAAATGCGCCCTGTTGTGAGATGAAAAAACTATTTACCATAATTCAATATATCAAATGTGCTCTATTGAGAAACTCCAAAAACTCACCATTTCCAAATCCGGGATACATGAGATTTCCGCCGAATCGTGGCAAGTATTGAGCGTAGGCGAGCAGCGTCTCTGGCGGCATTCCATACAAATTCCGGGCCGCCGCGGCACGCGATTTGTTCAACTGCACCGGAAGCATGACCTGAGAAAATGGCTCAACGAGGGTTGCGATGATTCAGATGAATAAAATTGAAAATTCGGGGAAAAAGGGGGCGGAGCCGAATACTCACCTCCTTTGGTTGAGCCTTCTTGCACTCGACCATTTTTCCGTTAATCTCGTGGAAATGGATCTCGCACACCTTGTCGGCAACCTCGTCACTGTCGAATGTCACAAAGCCGAATCCTGGAAAATTTTCGAAAATTAAAAAAAAACAACAAAACGCCAGAAATGATTTTTGCCTATGTTTAGATTTTCGTCGATTTTTAGATTTTTGAAAAATAATCTCGAAAATGGCTGAAAACGTAGAAATCGCTAAAAACTGCTAAAAATCCTGAAAATCGTCAAAATCTCTAAAAATTCTAGTAATCGCTAAAAATCCAAAAACTGTCAAAAACCTTAAACTAACCAAAAATTGCCAAAATTTGCTAAAAATCACCAAAATCGCGAAAACATAAAAATCACCAAAATTTCTAAAAATTCAAAGATTGCTAAAAATCTTAAAATCGCCGAAAATTCAGAAATTTCTGAAAACTACTAAAAAACGAAAATCTCCAAACATCGCTAAAATTCCCAAAAACTGCCAAAAATCCTAAAAATTGCTAAAATTACAAAAATAGCTATTATGCTTGTCTGAGAAAAAAAGGTTAGAGAGTATTTTTTGCAGTCTGAATACGGTAGCGATATCGAAGCGGACAGCCTAAATAGCACATATTAAATGGAGACGCAGACACTTTTTCTCTGCGTCTCAACCTTTTTTTCTCAGACAAGCATAATAGAAACCTAAATATTGCTAAAAATTGCTAAAAATCTAAAAATCGCCAAAAATTCAGAAAAAAGACAACAAATCCAAGAATCGTCAATGATCCAAAATTTTTTAAAAATTCTAAAAATCGCCTAAATCTCCAAAAAAGCCTAAAATTCTGAAAATCGCTAAAATTCCCAAAAATGCTAAAAATCTAAAACTCGCCGAAAATCTTAAAATCGCCGAAAAATCCAAAAATCTAGAAATCTCTAAAAATTGCTGAGGATCCTAGAATTCGCTAAAAATCACTAAAAACGCTGAAAATCGCCAAAATGCTAAAAATAACTAAAAATCACCATTTCAACCTATTTTAAATTTTTTTGTTGTGATTTTTCCGTACCTCGATGCCTCTGCGTAGCCTTATCATACATGAGCATCGCGTCCTCGACCTTTCCGTAGCTCTCAAAATACTGCTTCATGTCTTCCAGAGTCGACGTGGCTGACAATCCTCCGATGAACACCTTCTTGGTTTTGGTGACGAGCTGCAAATCCTCATTTTAGAAATAGCTGGTCGGGAAAATATCGGTTTTTTTCTAGGCCACAGTTTTTGGATTTTTCTAGGCCACCACCTACTCCGATACCGGCCACCGATGGGATGGCCGCCAGTTGAGGGATACCGTATGCTATAGTGTATGCCATGGGGTCTGTAGCGAGAATTATTTGGAGGTGTATGGACGGTATGAAAAGCGATTCAAAAACAGAGAAAGAGCATTCGCGCTGCATTAAACTTTGGTCAAAAATGGGGGGAGGGGGGGGGGACCGATTAAAAAGTAAGTAAGGAAGAGCATAGTGTGAATATGGGAGGCACTCTCTTTTCATGGAAAAAAAGGGAGGAAAAGAGAGCGAGAAAAGAGGGGAAATGCAGAGTGAGTCGTATGCTCGAATGAAAAGTGGTTTGAGCATTTTCACCGGGCGGCGGTGGGGCCACTTTATTTGAAGAAAAAGTGGGAAGGACACTTCTTTCAATGGAGAGACCACGCCCATTTTTCTAGAATCCTGAACGAAGAACGCTCCACGACAAATCGGGAAACAAAAGTTGACAGCGAAAAGTGCCCTCCTATTGGGGGTGTTTGTGCTCGTGTGATGAGCTCATGTAATTCGAGATGATGTGACGGAATCGAGGAGCGGTGCCGCCGTCAAAGTGGATGGATGGATGAGAAGAATATGATGGTGACTGGGGAGAACAAGAAGTGGAAACTATGGGAAAGAACGCTGATGGAGAAGGAAGTCGTTCTTGAAGAAGAAGAGGATGATGTGAGAATGGCTGACAGATGAACCAAACGTCTAGAATCGTTTAGAATCGTCCAGAAGCGTATAGCAACATCTAGAATCGTTTAGGAACGGCTACAGTCGTTTAGAATCGTCTAAGATCGTTGAGAAGGGTCTAGAACGGGTAGGAATCGTCAAGATATCTCTGAAATAGCTGGGAAACGTCTAGAACAACAGTCTAGAACATTCTAGGAATCGTCTAGCGTCGATTAGAATCGTCCAGAAAAACATCCAGAAACGTCTAGGATTGTCTGGAACCCTCTAAAACTTCCAAAAACTTTCTAGAATCGAATCGTCTAGAACCTTCTAGAAACGCTCAGAAACGTCTAGGAAACGTCGAGAATCGTTTAGAAACTTCTAGAAAATACGAGAACCGTCTGGAATTTTCTAGGAACGTCTAGAAACGTTTGAAGTCTTCTAGAATCGTCCAGAACCGTATAGAATCTACTAGACGCGTTTAGAAGCGTCTAAAAACATCCAGAATCGTTGAGAATCGTTGAGAATCTTTTCCAAACGTCTACAAAAGGAAAGACGGGGAAGATAGAGAGAGAGAGGGGGACCCTTCAAACATAAGGTCCTCTGGCAATTCAAAACCAATATTTCTTTAGAGCCCAACCCCCCTCCGTCCGTCCCTTCGAAGGGTTTAAAGGATTGTGCTCTGAAGAGAAGTGTCTTCAATCTTCCTAAGAATCCTCATCATTATCATGGACGTCTTCAGAAAACGGAGAAAAACCTCCTCCTGGAGGTGCCGCTCAAACGAAAAAAGGAAAAGAAAAGGGGTCTTAAAAACACTAAAGCAGTGAAAAAAGCAAGGAGTTTTGTGCCTATATAAAATAAGCCTCCTGCAATTAGGTGAGCCACGAAAGGGGCGGGGACTGAGCATTCAATAGTTTTTCGTGTATGTCTATACTCTACTACTTCTTCTTCTCCACGTCTTCAGAAACCCACTACGTGTTTGTATGGCTGAGCGAGCGCGCCGGAGCGCCACATCACTCACGTTAAATAGCCCTCTTTGATGCGTTTCCTCCTTCGTCAGGCCTCGACGTCGTTGGGATGGATGAAAAAAAAATACGAAGCGTTTAGAAGAACCTGGGCATTCGCGCTCCGGTGCACACACCTTGTTTTCGTGCTTAATAGCCGGACACGGAGCTCAGATTGCTCATAAGCTAATGGTTCAATCTCCCAATTGGCGTTTCCCAAGGGAATACCTGAGCAACAAATAAAAATGGGCGTATGGAGCCAAAAACCCAAGCTAACTGATGAACAGGAGGGTCAGAAAAAAGCCAAATTCCAGGACTAGTTGGCTGGCTAAAAATCCAGAAATCTCCAAAAAAGGAAAACAATGACTAACTAAGTTGACTGGTACCTCCGGCGACAACGACAACGACAAGGCGGGGACGTCGAGAGTCACAAATCGAATTAGCGCCTCCTTCTATTCCTCCATCCACGCCGTCTGTCTCAAACACAGAAAAATCGGAATGGACAATCGTATTTGCATATAAATAAATAAATATACATACTTATATATTTTTGCTTATTTCCGCCTTTTCCTGGGCAAATTTGGGTGGTTGTGGTGGTGAAAAATGAAAGAAGAGGGAAGGCTCAAGTGGTCTGTTTTTGGGGAAAATTGAAATTTTGCTATTCCGGCGGTGGCCTAGGAAACACAAGCTCTTTCATAAGTTTTGAATTTCTAGACTCTAGGATTGTCTGGTGTCTGTCCGCAATTTTACGTGACGGTGTTAGCACAGATAACCGTGCATTGTACTGTAAGACGAAAATTCGAACTGCATGCTTTTTGGTTCAGTGGAGCGCGTTTTCAGCAGAATTTTTTCAAATGTTTTTTTTCGAGATTTTTAGCGATTTTTTCAAGTTTTTCAGCGTTTTTTCCGAAAAATGTTTAATGATTTTTTCGAAATTTTTAGTGATTTTTCGAGATTTTTAGTGATTTTTTCGAAATTTTTTAATGATTTTTCGAAATTTTTAGTGATTTTTTCGAAATTTTTGGTGATTTTTTCGAAACTTTTGGTGATTGTTTCAGAAAAATGTTGAATGATTTTTCCAAGATTTTTAGTCATTTTTTCGAGATTTTCGTGATTCTTAAAAAATGTTTAGTGCATTTTTTCAAAATTTCTGGGGATTTTTTTTTCGAAAAATTGTGTGATTTTTTTTGAAAGTTTCAAAAAATTCAAAAAATTTTCAAAATTTTCAGCGTTTTTTGAAAGTTTCAAAACATTTTCAATTATCTCAAAAAATGGAAAAAAAAACAATTCTTCACCGCAATCGCGCTCTACCGAACAAACGGTTTGTGGTTCGGATTTTCAGTTTGATCTCACAAACGCGCTCTATCGGGAACCCGTTAACCGTCGAAATTTCAAAATTTTCAAAAAAAAAAACGAATTCCGGTAGAGCGCATTTTCCTTCATTTCTAAAATTTCAAGACTAAAAGAGTGCACTCTATTTTCTTCCGCTTTTCTTCTTCAAACCCATTCACTAGCACTTTCACACCCAACTTCCCCCCTTTTTCCGTTTACGAACGCTTTCTAATTGCCCGGCAATTATCTCTCAAACGGGCCGGACCCAAAGACCCCCACAATTTTCACACATGTGGTGTGAGAAAACTTTAAAAAGTCAAAAGCGAGGGAAAGCAAAAAGCCGAGAAAGAACCTGTAATAGAAGAGCCCTCAAGCTTCCAATTTCGAGTCAATTTATCTCATTTTTTGTAAAAGATGTCAAAGAGTGGTCAACTGACAAAATGTGTATCATCATATCAGCAATATTTTGTTAGTTTACCACTTTGATATCTTGCATAGGAGCTGAGATAATTGAGCTCAAACTTGACAGTGTAGGGGCCCTCCTATTACATGGTTTATAATATTTCAGTAGAGCGTGTTTGCTAACCTTTAACAGACCTGAAAAGACGCGATAGAGCGTAAATTAGAAACTAGATCAGTCAGTCCCAAAAAAGATGGTCCCCAATTGGAAAATTGAAACCCTCACACATTCCGGAATTGTCAAAAAACTCTAAACCTTTGCTCTATGCTCGTTTCGTTGGTTTCTCGGTTTTTCTTGGTATTGGATCTGTTGCTGAGACATTTCATCTTGGGACTCGGTATTGGTAGTGCTCAAATTGCTCATCGCTTGCATCAACATCATGAACTCATGATGCTGATTCATGTCCTGCTCAAAGAGTCGCTCATATGGGGCCATGGGCATGGGTGGTACCATGGGGCCCATACCGCTAACACCACCACACTCGTTACCAACCTTCGCTTGGGTTCGCTTTGGGAACGCAACTTTTGGGTCGATTTTCTTGCCGTCCAACTCGTGGTCCCGCGCGTTCAGCACCTGGAAAACGGGGTTTCAAATGTCGTTGGAAAACAGGAAATTTCGATATTTTCCCAAAATTTTGCTTTTTGATTTTTTTCCGAAAACTTTCGAAATTCTTTAAAAAACTGTGAAAATAGGTGAGAATTCGAATTCTAGCATTTTTTCGAAATTTTATAATTTGATGGATTTTGAGATTTTTGGCGAATTTTCTGAAATTTCAGCCCGATTTTTCACATTTTCCATTTGAAATTTCAGACTTCAAAATGGCGCGAAATTCAAATATCTTGTGACAAGATTCTTGTCTTTCAAATTTCTCAAAAAAAAAAAACACTCACCTTATCAACACTGGATGGTTCGACAAAGGTGATGAATCCGAAGCCGCGAGCACGTTTTGTCGCCGGATCCCGCATCACCATGCACTCGTTGACTTCGCCGAAGCGTCCAAAGTAGTCGCGAAGGTTTTCTGGAAATTTTGGAATTTTCAGGGGTTTTCTGTCTGTCTGTATGTCTGTATGTCCTGATTAGCATCCTGCCTGGATGCAGTGAGCTTGTAAATGCGCTCTACCGAAATCCGAAATCTTTTAGTTACAAAGTTTTTTGAAGTGAAAAAAAAAACAAATTCCCGTTTAAATCGCGCTCTACCGCTCTAGGTTTTCAGAAACTCAGCAAATCATGGCGGAGGATCAGGGGAGACAACGCGATTTGGAGAATCG